AAATTTCACAAGAAGTAGCAGTAAAGGAAGATTAAATAAGAAATGCAATTCTGTGACAAATTTTTCCCAAACAGTGTTTTTAATGTGTTACACAATAAAAAGTTACATTACGTGGTAAGATACTGTATCTCATCTTATATATTTTACTTTTCAAACATTTGTATCAGACTTTTCTGCGATTTTTCAATTGCATTACGCATTATTGCAATAATTTCTATCGTTACATTTAATTCTAATTGTTTAGCAGCTTTTCTGCTGCTATCGACCCTACATTTTACTGACACTTGTGGAATCGACCCTACATTTTTTTTTTTCGTGGAGGTAGGCCGACCCTATGTGATAAACAATTGGCAACCAAACGGTGGTTCGCTAAAGCGATATATTATGAAATTAAATTAATCACTCAATAAGTATTAACATTATTCTAGAATCGAAAAAGATACGAATTCGCGTTTTTTCTTTTGATTCTTTCAATTTTTCACTCTCGTTCTACGAAAGTTTACTTCAATAATAATATTGAAAATTTTTCTGGTGATTTGGTTTAGTAGTTAGTTGTGTTGTGTATTGCCAGCTCAAATATGAGCTGCTTAAAATGTATTTTCTTGTGGCCGCCTGACAGCAACCTGTAAATCTGGCGCGACAGTGAATGTGTTAATAAGTAAATGTTGTTCAAATTATATCGTGTTTGATATCATTTTCATCAGAAAAATCTCAGCAACATGTTAAAAGAAATTCCAGATGAAAAACAGTAAAATTAAAGAAAGTATACATTTCCATTATGATTTGTCGAGCCGTGAAATCTCGTAAAGGAAACCGACTGGTGTAGCGTTACACGCTTGACTGACTGCGAGCGAAATAACATAGGCGCAGCAATGTCGCAGACGTAGGCGTAGGACCATCTAATCTATACTGTCACTTGTAGAATCCAAACTTACTGTCTCTTGTAGAGAATTTACTGTATACTGAACACAGCATGGCTGTATTCCACGGTTATTTCGCCGCGAATCCAACCGAACCCGCGTAAACTATTTTTCGGACCGAAATTCTGGCAGAAGGGTCAGAAGTAAAAGGAAGGATAACCAAAGCATCAGTGCGAAACTCCCAGATGCTCGGTGGATATAGAATATGAGGCTGAAACACGCGGTATCTCTCCGTCCCTCCTCCCGTTCAACGTAAGTATATTTAGCGGGTAAACTGATGAACTGCCGCGACACAGCGCGCGATCCTCTCTCTCTGTCTCCTCTACCCTCTCGACATCGTGCATGATCTCTCTTTTTTCTCTCTTTTTCGGTCGTTTTTGTTTCTTTTCCTTTTTTTTTTTTTTTTTTCGTACGACACAGATGCGGAACGTTGAAAGCAGCCTTTTTAGCGAACGTCCCCCCATCGTGGCTAGAGACTGCAGTGAAAGGACAGTTTTTGCTGGTCTACGACGCAATAAACCGCGTAACGAGGCTAACTACGGTTCACGGTAGACGTACGAAACGGTAAATTAAAAAGTGGGAAGGGTTCTGTGTCGTTTATCGAATTCGTGACGCTGTGTGCTGTTTTGTCAGGCCTGTTTTCCATGTAAATCGTCTGACTTCCGCGGAAGTTCGGTTAGACGCGATGCGGTCTGAGCGAGGCGCGTCTAAAATTTGCATGAGTGATACATCTCTCTCTCTCCCTCTCTCTCTCTCTCTCTCTCTCTCTGGCTGTCTATGGTGCACGTTGCTAAATTGAACAAGTAACCCTGCTCTGGTGGTACGCGCACGGTATGGTATCGCGCAGAAATAGATTAAATTAAGTTACGCCCGGCACACGGTCAGAATGAACCGCGGAATCCCCGTTCAAGTGGACTGAGCAGCTGATTTTCCCCCGTGAAACGCGGCGAAGGTAAACAATGCACGGAGAAATTCCATCGGGGAATGGAGATTAGAGGCAGATTCGCGGGATTAAATCTGACTTGAAGTTTATTCAATTGGAACGAGGCTAGGGAAGAATGTTGATTTTTAACTAGGATCCACGGTATTTACTTGTTGCGTGCTTGTACAAATTTCTCGTAAAAGCGGACCCATAAATAATATACCGAGTGCCTCTGGTGAGTTGAACGTCTAAATTATTTGCACTGCTGTAGAAGCTAAGCAGAAATGGCTAAATAAAAAAATCCCCTCAAAGTCATCTCGAAGAAAAATCACCGCAAGGTTGCCGACATTTATTTTTCTACTGTTTAAAATCATTTCTAGGCTAGGTCATAGGTCGTTGAACTCGTCTTGTCGTCAGTTACAAAAAATTACATTTAAAACCACCATGAGTGGATTTTTGTTTACCATCGCCAGTTGCACGTGATCTTTTAACACTTTTTGCAAACGAAAAAAAAAAAAAAGAAAGGTAAATAAACTAGATGGATTAAACGTATAATTGAAATTTGATTGAACGAAAATGAAAGAACAACTTTGATCCTACACTCGGTGCTTGTTATTTATTTTGCATGTTGCGCAGTGTGAAAACAGGTAAAAAAAATGAAAAAAATGAAAATCAGAGACGATGAAGGATGATGGTGGAGCGCGGCTAGTTTGCCCAGGCCGGGCGAATTAAATCAATGGGTAAGATAAACAGAGGCGTAACACCTTGCTGGCCGGGGAAAGTTACGAGATTTCATGGTGTTCCAGAGAGGCACTGGGTTGAGCTGTTCCTCGTGCTTTATTACCCACGGTTAAATGTTATATTGTACTCATACGGCGCAGTTGGTTACCGAGCATCCACGGCCCGTAATCTACGACGAAAATATTTGCCACCCTGTGTGCATCTGCTCGCCCGTGAATGCCTGAACGCGATTTATTCATACAAGCATGCACACGGCTGAACTTTATTTATGAACTTTCGTCCGTTCATTCGCCTAATGAAAACGTGTCACGTGGCCCCATTAATCCTCCCACGCATCCTTCGTATAACGAAATTGAAAGGCAATCTCGGTTGAAACGCGAATGAAATGAAAAAAAAAAAAAAAGAAAAAGAGGGAAGAAATCTAGCGTCGATATGGAAATTGCCGAATGATCCGTGGCCTGAAATTGAAAATTCCACGCGAAACTAAAGTGTCGACGAGCCGCAGCTTATAAAGGCAACTTGCAGGGTCTTGCAGGGATTCATAATGCCCTCGTTAAAGTAAACCTCTCGAAATGATCGAATTTCAGGTTGAATTTTGGCCCACGGGCGGGAACAGCCAGGTAATTCGATAACAATAATGGTCGAGCGTCAAGAGTTCGTTGCTAATCGACATCGAACCGGCTATTTTGTCCTACCTACCTACCTACCGAATATTATAATCGCTTTGTGTTACTAATAATTCCGACATATATATTTGACTGTAACTTTTGAAGTTTAATTTCGCATTACCGAGAGACCGAGGTGTGTGCGTGTGCGCGTGTGGTTGAAAGTGCAATTTACGTGTTCAAAAGCTTCTTTCCAATCCAGCCAGCCAGCCAGCCAGCCAGCCAGTCAACGAGATGAGTAATAGACACTTACTCATCTTGAAAATGGCGAGTACCAGTGGAAATTGCAGTGGTCATTCCACGCTGAATTTACGGATTAGTATTTGTCCGATTAACGAAGCGCGAAAAAAGCGTTAAAACGGCTAACGGTGTAGAAGGATAAACGATAACGATAATGAAATAACGAGAAAAGAAGGTGCCAGGACATCTAAAGAGGCGGAGAGCTTAAAGATCAGGCGGAAAGGTTCCGTGGGAGCTACTTAAACCAAGTAACAGAGACACGAAACTTAACGCTGGTACCGCATTAGCACGTTAAATGGCTACATTAAGAACTTTATAGTTAATTCAGACTGTTTCGACTATGCTATTGCTTCCGGTAAATTTCATCGTAACCACCGTTAGAATATCCTTCTATAGTGGTTTCATTAATGATCGATAAACCTCGGGTAAGTACTACGTGTCCGTGTATAGCACATGCATAAGAGAGGTGGTGAACTTTTTCTAAAGAGGGGTCGATCTTGTGTCCATTAACACGGAACGAGTCACGATCATCGATACCTTCTATTCGTGCTAGAAGCAATTAATTATACGCGTCTTGGAAGTTTCCATAAGTATTCACCCGGGTTATTAGCCTGATAATACGCTACCAATCGGGAAATTAATATTCATCCAGGAGGATGAATAGTAAATGCAGTCCGGCTGAAAGTTACTTTCGGTACGTCCATTAACGGCAATGAATATGAACGGAATTATCCGACAGCTAGGTGCAAAGAACTCCGGCAGATCGTTCGGGAGATCGTTTCTAACGAGAAGAAAAAGACTACGGTTTCACCTAATTAATACCGCATAAATAAAACTCCTATAAATTGAAACGATATTTCCTACAAAAATGGAGGAAAAAAGATTACCCCTATATAAAAGTCATTTCGTTTAAAATCAAACCAAATGGGCGCAAAGCGTAACACTTTACCGATCCTTTAAACCTATAATTAACCCCTTATCAGATAGAATTCATGCAAATCAAGAACCAGCTGTGCCTCGAAGTACTACAATCTTCTTAATATAGTGCCGCCGTAATTTCATAAATCGGGTCCATTCCATCGAATTCAGTCCGAATTTGTTAAAACCAAAATAGCCACGTATCGCGGGAATCCATCGAAACGGCGTCGTCGCGTTAAACTCTTTATGGCTGATTGAAGTCGCAACGACGGTATCATTACCGGAGCTAGCTCAGTAAAATGGATTCTAGAGAGAGGATCTATAAAACTGATCGTAGGCATCTCGGAACGCTTCGATCCTTAACGACGCCTCGTGCAGGGTATTACGCGACTGGCCTCGACAAAGCGTCGATTACGACCGCCTGTTCACCGTGTCGAATAGGATTTTGCCGTGGGTGAAACGGTCTCCCAACGAAACAGAAACATACGAGAGAGGGAGTGTGTGTGTGTGTAGTTGGTCCAGCGGCGTGACCATTGTGAAACAAACGCATATGAGGAGACTATGGAAAAGGGTGAGCAAGGTGTATATACTCACCGGCAGTTCGCACCAGCACGTTAAGCAGGATGGATAGCAGAAGGGTGGTAGCCCTGTACTCGTGTATCACGATCATCAGCCACCTCGATACGTTGAATCCTGCGTGCCACCATAGACCCGTGGCCTCGTGTACCATATTTTTCCGCCTCGCCCTATTTCACCCGGCTTCCCCTCCAATCGCCGCCTCCTCCACTTCTCCTGGCCTCATTCACCGTGTCCTTCTCTATCTCTCTCTCCCTCTCTCTCCTTCGAATCTTACGTGGAATCTCTCTGTTAGCCGAACTAGTAACCCTTTTTCACAGGGGGTAGGTTTTATCAGAAAGTAACGAAACCCGAAAATTGTCGTCGAGCAAACTCGATTCTCCACGCTGTTGGGCTTCAATACTTTCGGTGTTTCCCAGCACAGAAAGAGCAGCGTAGAAGTTTTTATCGCATTCACCTCGTTGCAATTGTTACCGTGGCACGTCCCCTCCCTCTGGATTGATTAGCGCACCGCGGACTAAGAGAAAAGTTTCTTGTTGCCCTGGAAACCCTGGCCACGGAATTGACCTCCACGCTGTGCTAACTGAAAGATCTCCCTGGTGAGAAAGTGTGTGCGTAAGAGAGAGAGAGAGAGAGAGAGAGGGAGGAGTGAACAAACCGAGGATCAATTCTGTGGATATTGTAGCGGGTTTGTGGATTAACTATCCAGGTGAACGATCAGCTTTCGATGGGGTAAACCGTCGTTAACGATGAATGTGGATGTTACAAGCTAAGGTTGTTTCTTCTCTCCTTTGGAATATCAGACAGAAAGGCAGTTTCTCGAAGCTGTCTTATCGCCAATGATCTCCAGAATGGCGCAGGTCACCAAATGCCAAGGAGAGATTCTCTGGCAAGTTGCTTCGAGTCCTATTGTTCCACGGCTATAGATTACGGCCTCTCGAAACGTTTCTGAGACACTCGAAGACCCTTTTCCTGCGGATGCGTCCCGTAGACATGTACTACTCTCCGGTTGGTAGATACACGGTGTCGAGACGGCGTGTCGGCTGTTTCGCGAAAGGGGTGGAGAGATTATTGTTGGAGTTTGCAAGATGTTGTGGCGAGCCGTTGGACGATATCCTTTGGCGGTAAAGTTAATAGCGTGCCTCTGGCGAAAGGACTTTCTTGCTTACCGTCTTCTCATTCGCCTTCATTCACCGTCGTCGTTCTGCAACCAGTTGGAATGTTACAGAGTTCTACACGTTATCAGAAATACAGGATGTGCTCTAGGCCATAGAAACCAAGCAAGTTCCTCTTCTCTTCCTTTCTCCCTCTTTCTTCTCTCGCTCTGTTCCTCTCGAGTAGCTTTCAACGTTCCGTCACTACTGTTCCACAGCCAACGGCTACTCCTCTCTGAAGAAATCTCTGCTTTCCTTTTTACCCGACAGCGCAGAGACACACTGGTGCAGACAGTACAGAGAGAAACATCCGGGCAGCTTCTGCTTCGCTACTTCTCTACGTTTCACGAGCTTTTTCCTTTCCCTTGCTACTTACTCTTCGCAGTTGGATATCAGGGCGATCGCGCGGAAATTTTGCGGTGCTTTTAGAGACGCAGCCACCTTAACGACCACTGGCTTAATTTCTAACATTAATATTACCACAGCTACCGGAAGCTTGCACCTTGACGATTCCACCTCGTGTTTCCTCTGGATCCTCTTACAGCTTCACGACGACCACTGGTCTCTACTTGCCTGCGTCAACATCGATAACGAATCTCTTCCACGTCCTCTACAGCCTCGCCTTTCCTACACCGATACTGTCCTTTTCCACGCGAATTCACCTCACACTCACCTAGTTTTAATTGGAAATACAGGAAACGTCAACGGACAAGAGAGTAGGGTCTAATAACTTGAGCCTGGGAAATTTCACTGTCCACGGATTTGCACGGCGTGCAATTTCGTCGGGGATATTACTCGGCGCGAAACACGACGATCATTAGGTGACACGACTAATATTCCGCCTTAAGCGGACCCTTGTCACGCCTATTTTCTCTGCTTCCTCATTTACAGATGTCTCAACTGTTTCCAACGCGACGTCAACAGTGTACTCGTCGCGACGCGTTAGCAAAGAGCAAAGCACCTAGCTTCTTCTTCTTCTTCTTCTTCTTCTTCTTCTTCTTCTTCTTCCTCCTCCTCCTCCTCCTCCTCTTCTTCTTCTTCTTCCTTACTTCCCAGAGGAGACCAGCCTTTATTCTCACTCAACGTTGCATTCTCGTTGCATACACGTGTCAGTGTACGCGTTACGCTTCGTCCGTGATAGCAAACACCAGAAGATTTACCAAAGAATTTCGCGGCCACCCGACTCTGTGGATATTGTGCAAGTTTGTGGAATGCCGCGGCCAACGGAGCTCCACTGCTCTGTCTTTAGACGGACGAGTTAACGTTCTCTCTTTCTCCTCACTCTCTCTCTCTCTGCTTGCGACTGCCTTTAGGCACAGCTAACCCTTTCCACGACTTCCACCACTATCACCTCCATCCATGGATACGTCCACCTGCGTACACACACGCACGGTCTACACACGGTGGCTACTAGGAGGGTTGAGGGTTAGAAGCGTAGATAGCGACGTGTCTTTGGAAGATCGTCGTGGTTAACCTACTCCTTTGAGGAATTTCCACTGTGTCCCGCGGTTTAGTAACCGTGCCCTGGCCAGAGCTGGGGAACCGCTTCAGGGATTACGGATGACTCGCTTCCTTAAGGGTCGGCTCGTCCCTGCTGCTGATGATACTCGTCCACCTCCTGAAATTCGAGCATAGAGGATGTAATCAGTTAGCCTATTGGAAGAAGACGGCGACAGAACCTCGTGAAATCTTTAATGGTAAGCACCTTCTTTTACTTCCTTTCCTTTCCTTTCTCTCCCTCTCTCTCTCTTTGTTTAAGTCGAAATCTCGGGAAATCTCTAAACGAAGAAAATGAAATGAACAAAGCGGAAAAGGAGAGTGGCGCTTTAATTCACCAGTCTCCCTTCTCTCCGCTCCGCCACTTCCTTCACGGGGTTTCCCCTCGACTCGCCGTGGAATTGCTCCACGGGATTCTCACGTTCGCGTAGGCGCGTTTAATTCGTTACATTAATTGGAAACTCGATACCGGTGAT